AGTAATAAGATTTATATTTAAATTTGTTTTAAATAATTTTACTTGTGTATTATGTTGAGCGCTGAATGCTTTTATTTTTGTTTTACATAATTTTACTTTTATTAGTAGTAGTTTATTTGATATGCTTTCACAACTGAATGTATTACATATTGACTTCCTTACACTTCTAATTTACATTGTATTTTATATATTAACTTCTTTACCTATATCTACCCATTCTCTCTCTCTCTCTCTCTCGCTCTCGTACTCGTTCCCGCTCTCACCCTCTCTCACTCTCTCTTCCATTCTTTCCCTTCTTATCTTTTGTACCTTAGCCATCCATTCATACCCTCTTCCATCCTCATTCAACACATCTATTCTTTGATCGCACCCCCCCTCGTTATTCATACAACTTTTTACGTGTCTAAGTGTTTCCCTTTCTTTTCCGCATATTCTACACTTTCTTTCTTCTTCTTTTAGCCAATACATATTTCCTTTCAACTCATTTCCACATCTCCACCTTGCCACCATTTGTATCTTCTTTCCGTCTGTTCTTCTTCTATTCTTGCTCATATATCCTGGAATTCCTGCCACCCACGCATACGCTTCACACGATTTGGAACTCCTCACTTTTTCTCCTCTCTCCTGTTCGTCTACTTCTTTATCAATATTCTTTATTTTCTCCCATTTACTTTCTCCTTCCTCTTTTATAGCCTCCTCGCTTCTTCCACATCTCCACAAATATCTCTTTCTTTCCATACTTTCCCTAGCCCATTCTCTTTCTGGTCTCTCTTTTTCATCCTTCCTCTTTTCTTCTATACAGATTTTTGCTATATCCCCCATTTCTCCCTTGCTCATTCTCTCCTCATATTGTCCTGCTCTCCTGCCCATTTCCACTCTAATTTTTTCTCTTTTCATTTCTTCTCTCACAATGTAACCTGCCGTGTTTCTATCTAAGCCTAATATCCATCTACCATATTCCTCTTGCAATTGTTCTATTTTCTCCCTTTCTTTGTATCCCCACTTCTACTCCGTACATCATTATTCCTTTAACAATACTATCAAACAATTTCCATCTCCATCTTATATCATCTTTAAATTTTCTCTCCCCGAAACTCCACGCCCACCCCATTGCCATTCTTGCTCTCCTTACTCTTTCTTTTATATGTTCTTCGTCATCATTATTACTTTTCATAATATACCCCAGATAATTAATACTTTTTACCTCTTCTATTTTGTCATTCCCCCACCACCAGTTTCTTTTACTCCACTTTCCTCCATCATTCCTAAATACTATCACTTTTGACTTCTCTGCACTTAGCTTCAATTTCTTTTCTCTCAGATACTTTTTGAGCCCCAGAATCATTCCTCTTAATCCTTCTTCTTTTTCTGCTATCATCACAATATCGTCCGCGTATTCTAATGACCATATTTTATCTTTTCCTATCTTTACACCTCCTGGTCCCTTTTTCAATTTCTCTCCAATATCCGCCATGTATATATTAAATAGTGTCGGGCTTAACGGACACCCTTGTCTCACACCTTTTTTCACTCTAAATTCTTTCGTTTCTCCGTTACCTACTTTTACTCTGCACCTCGTGTCCTCATATATCTCTTTTACTCTCTCCACTAGCTCCTCTGAAATCCCTCTTTTCTCCATCATATCCCACAAAACCTCTCTATCTAGCTGATCAAAAGCCGCTTTCAGATCTATGAACAATGCCCATATTTTTTTACTCTGCCCTAATCTTCTCGAAATTATATGCTTTAGTATTTTTATATTTTGCATTGTCCCTCTTTTCTGCCTAAATCCTGCCTGTGTCCTACTCCATCCCTCTTTTTCATCCAGCTCTTTTATTATTCTTTTATTAATTATACTTGCATACATTTTATACGCCGTACTTGTCAATGTCACTCCTCTGTAATTCTTTGTCTAAGCGGTAATTCGCTCGAACAGTTGCTCTCGTTTTTATGCACGTACTTATGCCGTATGTATCGGCTCTTTGTTTCGGCTCGCTATGCCTCGTCGCGTTACCTCATTATTTATTTAGGAGGTTTTTAATTAAGATACTCAAGCGAAATGACTAGTATTTGTTGTTGCTATATTATTTATCGACTGATATTGATTTTATACTTAAGTGATTACAGGTTTTGAATAAACAATCTTTGATCCTTATATAATTAGTATTTGTGCCTTGATTTTGCACAAGTATATAGTTTTATGTTTATTCAAAGTGTGTCACTTGCTAATTTATTGTTCTATTTATTTTATATTCAGTTCGCTTAATTATATTAATACGATGCGCGCGCGCGCTTGAAGTATCGTTACAGCTGTTGATCATGTGATAAGCGTGTGATCACTTCTTGTAACAGGACGCTAGATGGTTGTTATGACAACCACTTCGCGTTGCCTGTTAGTGACGTTCGCCGTCTGTATATGTTTTTCGGCGGACGTTACAGCGCTAAAATTCTTTTTTTTTTAATTACATTTTAGTCATAATTTAAAAAAAAGACGAATGAAAGAGGAAATAAATATATTTTTATTGATTTTTACATTTTTACATACTTTTTTTATCATCCTTTATCTTAAGTTATTTTTTACATATTACATATTTATTTTTACATATTACATATTATTAAAAAAAAAAATTATTTTTATTCTCAATTCGCGATATTAAAAAAGAAATGCATGTTTTCATTCATGTTTTTTAGTTTATTTTTTTCGGATGTTTAATTATTTTCTATAACCGATTTCGATTTTAAAATGTGCGCCTGCAAATGATATCACGCTCTGATTGGTTTACTAATTCACGCTGTCGCCATTATGCGCAATACTTCACCTTGTATATTTCCACCATGGCTAGTGGTACGTCCGCGCAACATTTTTCCGCCATCTTGTAGTGTAAAGCCGCCTTTACATGCGAATAATCTAAGAGCCGCGTTGACGAAAGCGTCGTCACAAGAGAACCTGCCTTAAAATCCCTTCCTACTGCGCAAGCATCCCCTCCTATTGCGCAAGCATCCCTTCCTGTTACGCAACAGGGCCTGAAACGCGTGGGAGTAGGGCGATGGATCCTCAACCCTTTCGGGAAAGCGTTCCTCGCTCTCTTTGATTCCGGCTCTCCAACTGTGCGGTTCGTTCTCCTGAGACCTGGGACACCGCCTGCGACGCCTTTGTGTAAGACTACATGTGAATTTTCCTATTCTTCAAAATCCATTCTCATATCCTAACTCAAATCCACACCGGGTTCTCTTACGCATTACAATTCAATTAACACTTACTTAAACAAGCTCTAGTTATAAGTAAATTAAATAATTATTTTTCTATTTCTTTATTCGCGTAATTGTAGTACCATTTCTAAGAGAATTTATATCTTTAATCATAATTAGCCTGATAAATGTAAGATTATCAATATTCCAATAATAAGAATTCAAGTAGTAAGAAATGCGCGATTAGTAATAATTCTATTGTCCTTAATTCTAAGATTGAACTTGTAAAACTTCACTGATTTAATTGAATTACGCTGTAAGCATATGTTCTAATTTTCTTTTGTAATTGAACTCAATTAGTATAAAATATATATAATTGTATTTTATGAAATCGGAATAGAACTTGTTTAACGTCCCTATTATCGCTTCCTCATTTTACTTCTTTCACCTACGAACACGAGGTTCGTGAAGTACTACCTACAGGTAAAAGGTAATTACTAAAGTTATAAGTGAATTCTCAACTTATTCCAATTGCAACACTAAACGTGTCGGCCACGTGGGACGCCAACACCGCCATATTCGGGCTCAACCGTTACATTCCAACGTATCGCCGCGCGCCTCTACTGCATCACCGCTCTGGAACCTCGATCCTATTGGTTACCGATGCTATCGCATTTTCATAAATTCGTTAAACCTAACATGCAACGGTGCCATGTGCCCTCCTACGACGCCGCGTCGTGAGCTAAGCAGCGTACTCGACAACGACTCTTACCGCGCGTGGATTGACGAATTCCTCTGTGTAATTTCGCAGCTCTATTTACATCGTACTAATCGAGCGACACTTTGTAACGATTGCTATAATTCAGAAGAACCACGTGCGCGTTCTGAATATTATCTAGCTCGTCGTTATTGTCTGCAACTTGGTTTGCCGCATCTTTTTGAAAAGTGCGCGAAGTGTTCCTCGATACTTTCCTCCGTGCGACCAATCATAAATTGCAACACGTGCTCCGAGTTGCGAGGGGATTTCGTATCATACTTAGTCAGGACCGGTGACCATCCATGGTATGACGACGGGGCCACAATACTTTTTATTTCACTGTCCCGCGTGTAAAATCATCTAGGAAATTTTTGTAACGCAGTAGAGGGCCGCCGGGCCGTAACACTAGCATGTTTGCTCGCATGGTTAGGTCGCATGCGATTTAATACTAAAAAGCGCACCGTGTGCCGTAGGGTTTAGTTACGCGGTTCGCCACCGCTACCCGCCACCCGCGCCGCCACCTGCCGCCGCCGCGACACTAGTGCCGCCTGGTGGCAACAGATAACCTGTATCCGTGGTCCAGAACTCTCCTTGTTATACTACTGGATTAAAAATTTTTTTTGTAATATGGAATTTTGTAACATTAAATATGACCCGATCGGAGTCGAAACGTTTGTAGCTACTTCTTATTTATATTAAAGTTTAATTTGTTATGTTATCAGCTCTTTGCCCTTTATTAATTTTATTTGTTTTATACTTATAGAGGCTTATATTAACCGTTATTTTAATATTCATTAATATTATTTAATCCTTTATAGTATTGTGGAATAAAAATAGAAATAATTTTCCATCTATTTCATTTCTGTTCTTTAAAGATTTATTAATAAATACATCATAGCATTTTGTTTACGCTTAAATAATTGATACTGCGACTCTATTAAAAAATCATAGAATCGCAACTATGATTGATGACTTAATAACGTTAGCGACACTTTCTCTTTTAAGTGCCGATATTTCTCGTTTGAAATGCAGCGGTAGTTGAAGTAGTAATAAATTATTGCATTGAATTTAATTTTGTAGTTAAATAGGGTCTCTCCAGCGTTGGACAGAGAAATTTATGAAAAAGTTCGTGCCATGTTGTCGATTTAGTACCCACTGTTTCCAATAAATTGTTCCATAAACCGTTTGCAACTGCAAAAATAGAAAAAATTTCCTGAGTAATATTCTGATTATTTCTGAATAATTAAAAATATTGTAATTTTATTTTAGAATTAGTACAATTTTATAAAATATATTTTAACATTTACACCAAATTCTGTTTTAGAGTAATTAAAAATCTATGCTAATTCAATGCGACTATTACAATTTGGCAATCTAACTTTACGTGGAAGTAGTCAAACTGGACAAACTGGTTAATATTAGGATAACATTTTGCCAGATAATAATTATTGTACTTTCCCACATTATTACTTTATCATTCGTTATATTTAAAATACCAGACTGAGAAATAAAATTCATTTTATGCAAAGCATTTTAAATATAAAACATCAATTTTTAACTATTAATTTATTAACATTTAATTCTTTTTTATTCACTTAATTAACGAAACACTTTTTAGAGAATTCTGAGTAAACTTACAACGAGCATTGGCTTTTTGACTAATGTGAAAGCAATCGCTGCTCAAATATGTCATGTCAGTATATCCGTCTGAAGTAAGTGGTACAGTTACATCCAATAAGATAGGTTGGGCTACAACTATAAAATCATCTCTTTGGAATTCGGAATAATCAGCGATTTCCATATCTAACATTTGCCATCTAAAATATACATATCTTTAACTGTTTAAAAGATAATAATAATATACTCAACAGTAGGGGAGACCGGGGCTAATTCGGCATCGGGATAAAGTCATCATTCGCTTTAACTTACGAACAATAAATCAAATAAATTAGCGATTAGTACTAATGATGCCTTCATGTATCCATTTTGTCAACGGAGTTTTGTTAAGTTACTGGCAACATTGCAATTTCTACAATGACGAACGTGTTTTATACAGTCGGAAGTAATTTTTTTGACGCGAAAAAAGTTCGTTATTATACCTATTTTTTTCGCTTGTACAATTATCCAGGTAAGTAATTCTAAGTGAAATGTGTATGCTGGACACGAATCCGTTGACTATTCTTGCAGTTTCATGTATTTATTATATATTTTGTGTAACGAAAATAGAAATGGACGGTTGAGGCAAAGTCGGCATAGAGACGACGGGACAAAGTCAGCGCAGTAATAACCTAACTTAACTATAATCCGTGCCAATAGTGTCGACAAATTTTCAAAGAAAATAAATAAAAAAATGGCACCAGTGATATACAACCGTCAACAAGCAGTCGACGTCAAAATACGCGCGCACAAAAATGAAACATTTATCTCTTCATTTTTTCTCATTTATTTTCTTTTTTAGAGCAAAAATAAAGAAATAAAGTATTTTTATTCTTTTAAACGGAAATGATGTATTTTTAAATCAATTTTAGCTGGAACATGAGGTGTATCAACTTTATCCCGGAGGGGTGCTGACTTTACCCCAGGAATTTTGCAATATCGCATTTAGAGGTTGTGTCATATTTTTTCTATGCCTATGAAACGAAGTGACATAGATCAAAAATGCTTTGAATCATTTTATAGCCAAAGGTTCATTCTTTTCAATAGTATCATTTATTTAGCTAAAAACTTTTATTTTCTTATTAAAAATCGTCAAAAACAAAAAGTGCCGAATTAGTTCCGGTGTCCCCTACAATTAAAGTTCAACTATCCTGCCCCCCCCCCCCCAAATAGGCAAATTTTAAAAGAGTGTAATTTTATCAAAAATGATCATAAAAATTCTTATGAAGGCATTTTAAAGCTTGAAATCTCTAAATCTCGAAAATGGTAATTGATATTTCGATTTGATTTATTTTTTACGGAGTTATACGGACACAAATGGAAGTGCGTCAAAGTTTAAAAATTGTTACTAACTTTTCAAAGTTCCATTTATATCCATATAACTCCGTAAAAAATAAATCATATTGAAATAGCAATTATCACTTTCGAAAGTAGAAATTTCAAGCTTTAAAATGCTTTTCTAATAATTTTTGTGATATAATTTTTGACGGAGTTATAAAATTCGCCTATTTTTCAAAAATATCTTTTACGTCATTAAAAATAAATTTATAATATTAGAGGAAAGGCTCCTATTATGAGATACTGACTTTAAAAATAATTATGAACAATTAAGTAAATAATATGATCTAGATTAACTTCTGTTTTACTTTATTATACTTACTGTCGCATAATATCGTAATACATTGATTTATAACGTTGAAATACGAAACCAAACATACAAGAACACTCAATATCCGTTGTAATAAAACATTTGAATGATGATCTTCCTTTACGAGTATCGACCAAGTTCTTTAAATGTGGCGGCGGAATCAGTGCTACAAAAGTCCGCGGCAAATTATCTTTTAATATCCGCAAAGTCTGAAGTAGATCAGCCTTGTGATTTTCAAGAATTGACCAAGGTGGTGAAGTCCAACACATTTCATTACAAAAGTCATTGGCTCCGATCATCAACGAGATTAACTGCAAATCAGATTAATTTTATGTAATTATAATTAAATTATTTCATTGTGTTAATATAGGGATTGGAAAGTTACTTTTTAAAAGTAACAAGTTACAGTTACTCATTACCGAGTAAAAAAAGTAACGAGTTATCGTTACTAGTTATCGCTTTTTAAAAGTAACTCGTTGCGCAAGTCCGGCGGGTAACAAGACAAGATAAAATAAATTTTACATTCTGATATAGTAAATTTCAATAATATAATATAAAGTATGTATTTAATAATACAAATAATATATCTGACTTGAGGAGGTTGTAACGGTATAAAACACATATATTAATATTTATACTTTATACAAAGTATGTGCATATGAAAGTTGTGTTTATAATATTCTATTTTTATTGAGCAATATATTTTTATAGATTATTTATTGTATTTGTTATTATTGTTATTGTTAAGCAAAAATTTGAAAAATAATAACAAAAATCTAAATTTTTTGTATAAGTACTTTAAGTATTAAAAATAATTTATACAAAGTTTCATTGAGGTTCACCGATTATAGTTTATAATAACTAAACATTTTGTTTATTTACTGAACAATTAATATCTATATCTCACAATGTAACTTTACATAAATAATCTTGAACTTATAAAGTACTTATATAAAAAAATTGGAACTTCTATCATTATTTTATAATATTATTTATATACAGGGTGGCTGAGAATAACCGCATAATATTTCATGGGTGTGTAGAACAGACTATACTGAGTCGAAAAGTCCTGTACCATTTTGCGATTGCAGTAATAGTTAACGAGATATTAATTTATAAAGATATTTAAATTTTCGCCCGGCCCACCGTCAAATGCAAGCGCGCGGCTGGATAGGACCGCCCAGCGAAACGCGCCGCGCGCGTTCGCCGTCGCTAGGCGTTGTTTATAACAAGCGGCAATAGTCGTCGCTAGACATGTTATTTTGGCCGTATCGACCTCCTATTTTATTGTTTGGAGGCGGGAGCCATTAATCAAAGAAGAAGAAGAAGTCGTTAGACATGAGTCGCGTGCCTACATATATCATATACTATTTATTTATCGTATTTTTTTTGTTGAACTTGAAATATCACTTTGTAAGACTGTTTTCATGTGATACATAACATTTTTTTTTTAATAATCTGCTTAGAACGGTTTATTTGCGAAATACACGCTGAAATAATAACCTTGCTGAGAACCACTGGTCGAGAGCGGCGCGCGCGCGGCCGTCTGCTAGTTCCGTCTGCTTCAGCGTCATAGAGTGCAGGCAAAAAATAGAAAACGTACTAGTGTAAGAAAAATGGCTTTTTAGTTCTGGGGCTTTATAAAGAAACATATACGAAAAATAGTGTGTGGTATCCTATTGGTATGTGATCGGAGGATCGCTGAGGTCCAAAAATAATCGAACCAATTAAATACAAGGTTCCTTATTCAGCTCTTAATACAAATGGTGAATTATGCGAATAATCGGGCGTGATGCGCTTGGTTCTATGTAGTATTTATGAAAGGACTTTGGAGGTGCCTTTCGGCACCCGCGGGGGTGTACTACTCCTCAAAGGAATCGGAGCCAAAGAGTTCCCGCAGTCTTTGTCTCTTGGCTTTGCGTCGGTGCCCCGGTGTTCGGGGACGCTTCACGGAGTCCTCGGTGTCGGGCTTAACTGCCCTACTGCAGGAGATGGCAGCTGCGGTAATCCGAGAGGAAAGTCCGTCTGACAGGCGACGGAATTCGTGACGGTAGGTTGCGAGTCGGTGTCGGTCTGCGTTGCCTTAGCCTGAGTCGTTGGCCGTCTTCTCCGGGGATCGTGTGAAGCGTCCTCTGGCCCGGCCTCCAAAGGTGTCAACCGCCAGGGCCGAAAAGAGATCCCCTCGTCGAGGGGTTTCCCCGGGGTCGGGGTGTCCGGAGGACCTGGAGGACCTGGACGGTCCCGTTGGCGTCGTCGTGGCAGGCTGGCGGCGTCAATCCACGTAATGGTGTGGAAGGTGACAGAGGCCCCTAATGGAGCTCGCCCTGAGGATACAGACGCCCGTAATGGAGCTCGCCCTGAAGGTACAGAGGCCTGTAATGAGGCTCGCTCTGCGGGTACAGAGGCCCGTAATGGAGCTCGCCCTGTAGGTACAGAGGCCTGTAATGAGGCTCGCTCTCACTAGCAAAAGCCCGTGAAGAGAGCTCGCTTTGCGGTTACTTTGGATCTACACAACACCAGCTAGAGGCCCAGAGAGCTCCTCTCCAAGTGCAGGAAGATCTACTGGACGGTCTTGCTGCACCGCGTATATACCCGCGCGAAGGGGTCTTGCATGCGGGAGAACGCTCGACCGCGTGGCCCTCAAGCGGCGGCGGTCGGAACTCCCGCCGGGCGGTGTAGGCGCCAGGCGCGCGCCGGCGCTAGCACCTCACGGACGGCGCGCTCGCGTCCCGTTCGCTGGAATTGTGGCGGAGGGGCCGCCACATAGTGTAATATTTTCCTAGATTTTCATATACGTTTCTTTTCAAGAATAGACCTCCTGATACAATCTTCTTTTTTTCTTTCTCGTGGGAATAAAATAATAAAATAATAATAAATAATAATAATATAATAATAATATAATAATAATATTATTATAGAAAGTGAAAATGCCTAATTGAGTCTTGAACAGGATGTTAGTGTTTTATTATCATTGTGTGAATATTATATACCGTGTATGTAGTCTCCTAATCGCGTGCCGAAATTTTTCTTCAGACTTTACAACGCAACTCTAAACAACTACCACGATAATATCACTTTTTGTTAGATTGTGTGTCAATTTCACTTTCTATGATTTTAAATCTTACGAGTCTATTGATATCATCATTTAATTTATACATGGTGTCATTAATCGAGCGGATCACTTCTCAGGAGCAGGTAGAGTAGACCGAACTGAGTCGAAAAGTCTTATACCATTTTTCAGTTGACGCAATATTTAACGAGATATTAATTTTTAAATATAACCAAATAAGCGCGTTCGTCCGGCCTACTACTGCCAAGCGTGTACGCCTGTCAATCGCTCTCTACGCGCGCGAATCGCGAGGAGTGGGGATAGGCTGGCAGGCGCACCGCGGAGGCTCGCGGCGGTGTACGCGGCGCGGGACGCTTCCCACTCCCAGCGCGCCAAGCTAACAAAATGGCGGATATTCGGCGCTTTATAAATAATATCTTGAAAATTGAGAAAATGTATACCGGCGTGGTTTCCCAGATAGTAAAATGCTAGCAGTATGTCAACAGTATACCAGTAAACTTGATCATGACGTTACAGCAGATATCAAGCTGCTGCTTCCTCATTAAGCTTAGTTTCTAACAGCTTAGTCTGCCAACATAATACAACGATAGAAATACAACAAAAATCAATCATTATTTGCTATCACATCGTGTCACGACAGCGAAAACGCGATAAAAACGTTTTTGCTGTTAGTACTTAATTATGTCAGGTCGTGCGGTATCTTTGCCACCTTTTTGCTGTCATGATATGACAACGAGTGTGCCAGATTTCTAACTATACATTTTGTTGATTTAACATGTCGTCATGTTTTATATCAAGTTTTGATATATTTTTTGTTAATTTATTTTGCCAGCATGTAATGTTCGAATTCTGCTTGTTTTATTCCGATAACGTTTGTTGAATTTTTACAGAATTTTTGCTAGTGTATTACAGGTCTGCTCTATGGTATTTTTGCTGTATTTCTGTTAGCGTTATACTGAAATGGTAAACCGTGTTCGACCGCTGCTCGATTTTTACCATTATAATACGTAGCATAAATTTGCAATGCGTGCTTTTGGCAGGTTCGGCTACCAGAAGAAACTTTATTGCTGCTTACAATTTTGCTTGGAAGCACGAGAAGAAAAATGCACTGCCGGTGAGAACAGAAAGATGTTTGACTCACGCATCGCCGCGCATGCGCGATCTAAGCAAGCTCGAGGCTGCAGAAAAGTTCAGGGGGAGACCGGCAGTAAGTGGTTGCGGGACGCGGTGAGGTAACGGAGTTATCGTGAGATGGCTGAAGTGTATTTTAAAATTGTTTTATCGAGAGAATATTCTTTGTGAAGAGAATCGGTACTGACTAAAATTTGCGTCCTCTCTTAGTACTGGAGAATGATATATTTTTTTGTATGACGCTACTCATGTTCATGAAAGTTCGGACACCCGCATAAATTTCATCGAATAATTATGTAAAAGATTAAGACACTATAAAAAAGCAATTGTATTGTTTTTAAAATATATTTTAAATCACTTTTACATACTAGTAATTGCAAAAGTTTTATAAATCTTTTTTAACTTTATATGCCAAAATGTTTTATCTTTATTTCATAAAACATCGATAGTATATTCGGTAAATTTCAAAAATTCGCGAGTCAAGAAATAATTTCTTTTGTGGCAAGGAACTGATAGAGCGCTATCATTTCCACACCACCTTGCGGTAGATAGCATGGCGCATTTTTTTTAAAGTGGTATCCCCAGTAGGTCTAATCCACTCTTGCATTTTAATGCAAGAATTGTTCGAAGTGCCTTCCTCGTTCTCGCAAACAGAGATCGGCTCTTCGAGTAATGTTGCGCGTAGAGCGGTGCGCCATTTCTGGCGTAATGGTATTGAAAGCTGCGACAATTGCTTGTCGCATCTCAGCTTCAGTACCATCACGATTATGCTCGACTAAATGTTTGATGTGACCCCAAACGAAATAGTCGAGCACGTTAAGATCCGGCGACCGCGCCGGCCAAGTGATTGGGCCACGTCGACCTATCCACCTGTCCGGATAGCGCGTATCTAAAAAATTGCGTACGTACCGTGCAAAATGCGCAGGAGCCCCGTCGTGTTGGAAAATGAGTTGCTCCCGATCCCGAAGAGGAACGTCTTCGAGAAGGGCTGGCAACTCGTTTTCCAAAAAATTGACGTAGATCTCTCCTGTTAAACGTGGCGGGAGAAAAAAGGGACCAATCTGAAAATTGTTACAAGTGTGACTAATAATGCGAGAGAGAGAGAGAGAG